ACCCAAAATGGGGTAACTACAAAGGCAAGAAGTGACTGGCTTACAAGCTTTCAAGAGGGAGCCTAGATCCAGAGAGTAGTATCCAATCTGTTTGGGATCGGCTGATGAAAGGTTATGCAGATAGGTCTCTTGTGATACAATAGTGAATAATTGTTATCAGTACTGGTTTTGAGGGTTGGAAATGTAAAGGTAGACATTTTATGGTAAGGAGGGGAGTGATTAACTTTGCAGTATAGCAGCAGAGGTCCCTGGGACCATGAAGGGAAGAGCGGAGAGTAGGACCCTACCCAGAGAAGTCGTGATGCCTGAGATGCAGGCAGAGACCATGATATGGAAAGATGGAGCAGCTGGGAACTTTAGACCCAGAGGCGGAGAGGGGCTGTGTGCTGATGACTGGGGGGGGAATGGGGGGACTTGTAGGATATACCCTTTGGTTGGTTTATGATGCATGGAGGGGATTGTAACCATGGCAACGAAATAATATACGATAGGATGAATGTAAAACTAATGTTTTCTCATGTAAACTATCACATAATTCACCATAAAACATTTTTTAATTACTGTATTATGTCACAGATGTTTTATTGTATCTGAAGTGTTTCTTTAAAGTTTTTAATGCATATAAAGGTATGCTGCTGTTGTTAGGTGCCCTAGAGTTTGTTTGATTCCTAGCAACCCCGTATAGGGCTTCTGGGGTTGTAAATCTTTACCAGAGCAGAAAGTCTTTTTTCTCTTGCAGAGCACCTGGTGGGATTGAGCTGCCAACCTTGTGGCTAACAGTGCAGTACTCAATCTACAGAACCTCCAGCACTCAAATAGAAAAGTATACTAACTATATTCTAAGACAAGCATTTGACTATATAGATATGAACTATACCAAATTGTTCTGATTTACATACAAATTCTACTTAAAGACAACCTTATTTGTAATGCAGGGACTGTCTGCATTCGGTTTTCCCCAGAATGTATTACATGTGAAATGTAAAAAAATGTAGTTATTCATCAATGGAACAAATTGTGTATATACTGCATATCAGGTACTATTTGTAAGAAAGAAAAAAATTTTAATTGCAAAACTAACATGAAAATTCATTAAAAACTTCCACCACTACATTAAGTTACTGTTTTTTTCATTGTTAAAACTGCTTATATATATGTGTATATGTATATATACACACATACACATTTTGTTGTTGTTGTTAAGTGCTGTCAAGTCAGTTCTGACTCCTAGTGACCCCGTAGAAGGTTGAACTGCCGACCTTGTGATTCAAACCAACCGTGCAGTCTAGCACATTAACCCACAGCACCATGCCATGACTCATTTTACATATATATATTCAAGAATACTGACTATACCATGGACTACCAAAAGAATGAACAGATCTATTTTTGATGAAGTATAACCAAAATGCTCTTTAGAAGCAAGGCTAGCAATACTTCATCTTGCAAACATTCGCAGAAAGGACCACTTCCTGCAGAAGGACATCATACTTGGCAAAAAAAATAGCATTGGTAGAAAAAAAAGGAAGAAACTCAATAAGATGGGGTTAACACACTGGCTACAACGAGTTCACACATAACAACTGTGAGGATGTTGCAGAATCTGGCAGTGTTTCCTTTTGTTATCCTATGAGTTGGAATAAACTCCAAGCACCTAACAACATAATCACTTCACCTCAACCACAAAAGAAAAAAAGAAATATATTCTATCTTCTTTCCATCCTTTCTGCTGGTAGACAAGTTCTGATTCTCATTATCTCACCTGGGTTTCTGCAAGTCTCTCATCTTTAGTCTCCCTGAATCTAGCTCCAATCAAACCCACTCATTTCAGTCTCACCCAATATTCCTCTACAACAGAAACCTGACCATCCCTCTACTACTTAAAACTCTTCACTGACTCCCCACTGCCTCTAAGATAAACTCAAATTTTTCAGGTTGATACTGAAGGAGCTGCAAGATCTGACCCCTCTCCTAGTTCATCTCAGAACACACCTTACCTAAGTAGAGTCCAGGAACATGGCTTGAGGCTTTTCTCATGTTTTCCTTTCCATGTAGAATACCCTCTCCAATTCATCCAACACTAATATGCTACATCACCACTCGTCTTGTCAGTTTGTCGCTCTGTGGTGATTTGTGTGTTGCTGTGATGATGGAAGCTATACCAACAGTATTTTGAATGCTGGTAGAATGACCATTTGTGGACATGTTTCAGCTAAACTGAGACTAAAACTCAGAAGAAGGAGAGGCAGATTATTTCCCAATGTTTGTTGTTATTGTTGTTAAGTGCTGAGTCAGTTGATTCATAGCGACTCTATGTATGGTTTCCAATGAATAGCAGTGAAATTGTCAGATAGCACCAGAATATAGAATACCAGGAACATGATGAATAGCATCAAAATATTGTCAGATACAGTGCCAGAAGATGAGCCCCTCATGTTGAAAGGCACTCAAAATAAGACTAAGGAAGAGCTGCCACCTCAAAGTACAGCTGATCGTGACATCACGAATGGAGTAACGCTTTGGGGACCTTCATTTGCTGATGGGGCACAATTCAAAATAAGGAGAAACAGTTGCAAATATCCATGAATAACTAGAATGTGAAATATTGGTACGAACCTAAAAAAACTGGAAGTTATAAAAAATGAAGTGCAACTCATAAACATCAATATCCTCGGCATTAATGAGCTGAAATGGACTGGTACTGGCCATTATGAACCTGACAATTACATAGTTTATTATGCTGGGAGTGATTAATTGAAAAGGTATGGTGCTGCATTCCAAAAAGAGCCTTTCAAGACTTATCTTTAAGTATAATGCTGTCTGTGACAGGATAATGCCCTATCCTAGTGTTATTCTATCGCAGATAGCATCATACTTAAAACATTATATTGGTGTTATATCACTGTAGGATCCAGACTACTCTGTGAACCACAAGGTCATCAGTTCAAACCTATCAGCTGCTCCTCAGAAACCCTATGCAGGGTGGCTATGAGTCAGAGTGCACTCAGTGACACTTAAAAACAACAACAAATACAAGTAAGATCAGTGAGTACCACTATTATTCAAATTTATGCACCAACCACAAAAGCCAGTGATGAATTTGAAGAATTCTACCAACTCCTTCAGTCTGAAATTGATCAAACATGCCATCAAGATGTACAGATAATTACTAGAATCAAAGATGAAGGATGAGTAGTACGAAAATATGATCTTGATAGAAATGATGGAGAGCACATGGTAGAATTTTGCAAGACAAATGGCTTCTTCATTTCAAATACCTTTTTTAAGCAACACAAATGGATTTCACCAGAGGGAATACACAGAAATCAAACTGACTACGTATGTGGAAATAGATGGTGGAAATTCTCCATATTACCAGCCAAAACAAGGCCAGGGGCTGACTCTGGAACAGACCATCAATTGCTCATATGCAAGTTCAGGCTGAAGCTGAAGCTGAAGAAAATTAAAACAAGTCCAAAGTATGACCTTGAACATATCCCACCAGAATTTAGAGATCACTGCAAAAATAGATTTGATGCATTAGACTCTAGTGACCAAAAAGAAGAGCTGTAGGATGACATCAAGATCATGTTGTTATTGTTGTTAGGTGCCACTGAGTTGGTACCGACTCATAGCTACCCTATGTACAACAGAACGAAACACTGCTTGATCCTGGGCCAATCTCACAATTGTTACCATGCTTTAGCCCATTGACATTGCTACTTTGCCAATCCATCTCTGAGGGTCTTCCTCTTTTTCTCTCGTGACAAGTCCCTCCTGACAATATGTCCTAAGTATGAGAGATGAAGTTTGGCCATCCTGGCCTCCAAGGAGCACTCTGGCTACACTTCTTCCAACACAGATCTGTTGGTTCTTTTGGCAGTCTATGGTACTTTCAATATTCTCCAACACCGTAACTCAAAAGCATCAATTCTTCTTCCGTCTTCACTGCCCAGCTTTCCCATGCATATGAGGTTATTGAAAATATCATGGATAGGGTAAGTTCCGTTTTAGTCCTCAGGCTGACACCTTTGCTCTTTCAGCACTTTAAAGAGGTGTTGTGCAGCATATGTGCCTAATACAATAGGTCATTCAATTTCATGAGTGTTGATTATGGAGCCAAGAAAAATGAAATCTCTGATAACTTCAATCTTTTCTCCATTTATTATGATATTTATTGGTTCAGTGGTGAGCATTTTTGTTTTCTTTACATTGAGTTGCAACCCCTACTGAAGGCTGTGGTCTTTGGACCTTCATCAGTAAATATTTTAAGTCCTCTTCACTTTTAGCAAGCAAGGTTGTATCATCTGCACATTTCTGGTTATAATCAGTCACCAATCTTGATGTCATGTTCCTCATATGATTCAGCTTCTCGGATCATTTTTTTAATATATAGATTAAATAAGTATCGTGAAAAAATACAACCCTGGTGCATGCCTTGCCTGATTTTAAAATGTCCAGTGGCTCCCTGCTCTCTTGGCCTATGTACAGATTCCTCATGAGCACAATTAAGTATTCTGGAATACTCATTCTCTGCAACGTTGTCAGTGAAAAAGAGGGAGATCCCCAACGAGATGGATTGGCACAGTGGCAGTAGTAATGGGCTCAAGCATAGCGGCAATTGTGAAGATGGTGCAGGCCAGGCAGTGTTTCATTCTGTTGTGCACAGGGTTGCTATTGGTCGGAACCAACTGGTCGGCACCTAACAACAGTAACAACATCACCTCCAGAAAATTCTATCCCACCTTCAAAACTAAGTTGGATGACACTATTCCTATCTTTGAAGTCCCTGAGTAGTACAAAAGGTTAAGCTGCTAACCAAAAGGTTCGAGTGTCAAACCTACCTAGATGTGCCTTGAAAGAAAGACCTGGCAATCTACTTCAGAAGACCACAGCATGAACACCCTATGGAGCACAGTTCTACACTGTAACACGTGGGGTCACCAGGAGTCCAACAGTTTTCTTTTTAACTCACATTGCTACATTGTAGCATTATTTACCCTCTTACATGTGACTATTAGCTCCATAAACAGGTTTAAAATCCATGTCCTTATCTATAATATGGGGAAATAAGAGTTAACAATTTTACTAAGCTATTTTTAGGATTCAAATATAGACTGTAAATATTCAACACAGTGCTTGGCACATAAAAACTAGACAACAATTACCTCCAATGTTCTATGCAGCCCAGCAGGCCTCAAATATTTATTCAACGGCTGAACTCTGCATATTGAAATATTCCTATATTACAAACAAGGGAACTAAATGTGAGCATGAATAAAGGCTCATGGTCATGCAGCTAGAAAAGGTGGTGACACCAGGATCCAAACTCAAATCTAACTCTAAAGCCCTGAATTCATTCTATACAAATGTGCACTAATTCCTTTTCTGTTTCATCTCTTCTGATAAATGTCCTATTGTTATTTTTGTTGGAATTTGTTTTTTAAAATTAACTTGAAGGAGGATTTCAATGTATCTATAATGAGATTTACTTGGATGGTATCAAAAGACCTTTCTAGCTCTGAAATCCTCCAATTCTTTAGCTGGGTGCAGTTTTTATGGTGCTGTTCCTGAATGGTCTTTCACAAACATACATTGTTAACAATTATTTTCATACAAAGCACAAATGCAACAATGGTCACCCTTCTCTTGGTCTAAGGCAACTCTCAGTAAATCCTCCATCAAGAAAGCCAGAGCCCTGAAGAGATCCATCCAGTATGCTGCAACCTTAACAGAAATCAGTTCGCTAGGCTGTATGTACAAGGTGCCTGCTTCTTCGGTGGCAAGGGTCTTGGGAACAGACCTGCCAGCTCCGCGCTAGAGCAAAAAGAGCATAAGTCAGACCACATCAAACTAAGGGTAATCGCCCCAGTTTCGTGAAGAGACCAGACACCGGCCGCAGCTACACTTGCCGACCCTCCCTCGGCGCTCCCCACTCGTGGTGAGGCGGTAGCGTCCTCTCGGGGGACAAGACCAAGGCCACAGTGTCCTTGCCCCTGCCTGTAAGGCCGTCCGGAGCCCAGAGCTCTCCTGTACCCAGAACAGAGAGAAGCACGGACACGGGAAGAAGGGAGGCGGCAGTGCTCGGGCTTATTCCGAGCCTCCTTACCCACTGAGAAGTTAGGACAGCTGCCCCTGACCGGAGTGCCGAAGCGAACAACATGGCGGCCAAAACCATTCGCCTTTCACAGGCAGCACCAAGGGAGATTCGGGAGAGAGCCGGGACGTACGGCGTGCGCGCTACCGCGCACGGGCTCCCAGTCATCTGGAGGAGGGCCGCTCCCTTACGCCACCGCAGTTTTGGTAGGCGGAGTCAGCTAGAACCCGGTGGACGGAACTTCCAGGGGCGAGGATTACCCACAGCCTTAAAAAAACCAATCCAGGGTCCTGACCTTGAAAGGAAGAGTTAAGAGCCGGCGGCTTGAGGGAAGAGTCCTGTTCGCTGGCGGGGGTTCGGATTTTTGGGGCGAGCTTCTCTCCAGGAGAGCTTTGTGAAAACGTAACCCCTCCTTTTTTTTTTTTACTTATCTTTTTACAATACAATTGTGACAAACGAAACAAGACAACATAAATTCACTATCCAATCTTCTACTGATGGGCATTTAGGCTGTCTCCACCTTTTTTTTTTTTTTTTTGTAAATGTTGTTGCCTCAAATTTAAAAAAAACAACCTGTTTTTTAAAGATGTTTGCCTACATTTTTAGGGTTGAAATGATTTAATACCAGGAATGTATTTGTGGTGCTGTGGGCTAATACGTCAGACTGCAAAGTCGTTTGAACTGCAAGGTCGGCGGTGCAAGCTTACCAGCTGCTCCTTGAAAACCTTATACAGGGTCGCTATGGGTCGGAAATCGACTCTACAGCACTTAACATTTCAGAACAAAGGGGAGGAGCGTATATAGAGGAAGCAAGATGGGTCAGGAGTGATGACTATTGAAGTTGTACGTTGATTACTAATCTCTGTACTTTTGAGCATGTTACCTATCTATTATAAAACTTTCAAAAGGGGGAGGGGAGGGACTCTTTCCTGATTATTTTCTTGATCAATTTTGGAAATTCCAACAAGTACTCAGTAACTGCTATAATATGCACAGCGCTGTTTCCTGAAGAAAAGAGTTTACCAGGCACTTTCTGTCTCTTGATTTTTTTTTTTTACTTTCACTGCCTGCTTATCTTGTGTCGTGTCCTAACCCGTCCCCTTCCTTTTGTCCATTTTCTACAATAAACTTGTGGATATTTTTGGAATTTTCACAGTAGTATAGGGATTGTTTACATTTTATCTACTGTTCTAAAAATTCTCTTGTAAATCATATTTTACAAATTAAGGAATTCAAGACAGGTGGCTGCCTCAGTGAGTTAGGAATCAACACCAAATGTCTTGCCGCCCTTGTATTTGCTTTATCTTTTATATTATTTTGTCTATCATAAACAGCCTTCAGTATTCCCTTTAAAAAGAAAAACTATGGTCCAAGGACTAATGGACCACATGAACCCCAGCCTCCTTGATCCTGAGACCAGAAGAATTATGTGATGCCCAGCTGCCTTCCTTGATTCAAGGGATCCACAATAGAAGATAGAAATGGGAGAGAAATGTGGAGCAAAACTCAAAATTATTTTTAAAAGAAAAGACTTACTGGTCTGATACACACTGATGGAACCTGGGACTATGGCCCTCAGTCGCTCTTTAAGCCTGGAACTGAACTTAACCCCTGTGAACCTGCACTGTTCCTGGCAGATGGAAGATGATCAATGAACATTTGTTTAATGACTCAAAATGTTGCCTATAGCATAAACATTCTGCCTTTCTAAAAAGGTCATTTAAGCCATTATCAGATTCTAGACCTTTGTTACTTCCCCAATGTGGGACTGAATCTTAGTGGTTTCTCTGTTGTTGTTATTAAGTGCCGTTGAGTCAGTTCTGACTCATAGCAACCCTTTATAGTGCTTCCAAGGAGCAGCTGGTGAGTTCGAGCCGCCACCCTTGGGGTTCAAACTGACTATGTGGTCCAGGGCTTACCCTACAGCACCATACCAGGACTTTTGTGGTTTCTATAGTTAAAGTGGAATTTTCTCTTAGAATTTGATCAACATTTCCTTATCAACAAATCAAAGTAATTAAACACTAATAATGAATATAATTTTTAACTAACAGGCTTAAAAGATTTTAAGACCCTTAATGGCGCTGTAGGATAAGCACTGAACTGCAAGATCAGTGTTAACTACAAAGTCAGCAGTTCAACTTCATCAGCTGCTCCTTGGAAACTCTATACAGGGTCACTGAGTCAGAACCGACTTGACAACACTTAACAACAACAACAAATACCTGATCTTAAGGAGCCCTGGTAGCAGTGGATTACAATGTCAGCAGTTCGAATCTACCAGTCACTCTGGGGGGAAAAGATGAGAATTTCAATTCCTGTAACAATTTACAGCCTCAGAAATCCTACACAGGGTAGCTATGAGTCGGAACCAACTCAACAGCACACAGCAATGTAGTACATTGCTCTACATATTAACCAAGATCACCACCAATCTGTGATCTTGGTTAATGTGTAGAGCAATGTACTCTCAGCCAGTGTTGGTAGTTGTTGTTGTTGTTAAGTGCTGTCAAGTCGATTCTGACCCATAGTTGGTAGTAGTGTAAACAAAATCAGCCTCTCTGGAGGGTAATCTGGTAATATGTAGTTTTTAATATGCATATCCTTTTACCCAGCAATTTTGCTTCTTTGAATTTATCCTAAGGAGATGACTGGAAAATAAATAAAGTTGTACATACTAATATGTTTATAACACAGTTTTTCATAATAGTGAAAAATAGAAACCATGTAAATGTTATCCAGAAAATTACATAAATTGCAGTATAGCCAAAATATATACATTGCTACATGGATTCAAAAATAATAATAAAGCTCCCTGTACACTCTGTTTGCATGGTCCTACACGCTAACACTGGGATTAGTTAGGTTTGCCATTCTGTTAGGTTTAAAAGGAGTCATCTCAAAAACAGGAACAGACCATCCCAGCATCATCAAAAAAAGAGGATCATGAGTGGAGTGTGAGATGCCGACTTAGAAAGGCAGGGACAACAGAGGTGGTGGCAAAGGCAGTAGCATGGAGAGACAGGACAGCTATGGGCTTCTAGGCCCATTATTGTTAAGTGCCATTGAGTCTACTCCGACTCATAGCAACCTTGTTTCTAAAGAGCAGCTGGTAGGTTTGAATTGCTGACCTTGTTCACAGTCCAGTGCTGATCCTATGGTGCCACACCAGGAGTCCATGGACCCAGTAAAGCTAAGTGCCTACCAGCAGAAGGATGACTTGCAGAATGTACCCTTTGGGCATTTACAGACTAGCTAAAGGAGCTTTGTAATACTCACCTGCCCAAGCAAGGTAGACTCCTGGTAGTCAGATAACTGATAGGCTGAGACAAGAGCAAGGGGTGCCTACAATACAACAGAGAAGAGGCATTCCTCATTTGAAAACTGCTGCATCCTGTTCACTATCCTAATAAACCCCATACTTGTGAGTATTGTTGTGAGTTCTGTGTGACCATTGCAATGGGTTATCAAACCTAGATATGAAGCAGAGAATGCTATGGGAGGGATGGTTGTAAGGCGGAGGCATGCCTGACCATCCTTTGACAGGAATCTGCCTTGGGCTGGTTTTGAATTTGATTCTCCTTTCCCCTTGCAAAGCCAGAGGAAATCAGACATGGCCTCCACATGGCTTTTGCAACAGCTTTAATTCTAGGCAGAAGAGTGAGCTCTGGACTCATTCCCACAGGCTGGTACTTGAATTTTTGTGAACATCTAAACCCATATCTTCCTTGACCACCTACAAAAGGATTCATATAGTTTCTTTAAATAGCCAATTGTTCTTGTGCATATAAAATATTCTTTGACTCAGAAAAGTTAACATTTTATTTCAGTGTTTCATTTATTGCTTAATAAACATGCATAGTGTAAACAGCCAAAGTTATATAAGAGTCATCAAAGCAGGCAAAATTGATCAGGAATGACATTCATCCATTGATTTACTGTACAAATCTGTTTCTAGCCCCTATAATGTACCAGACTTGAGGGCACACGAGACGCAAATGTGGAAGACCATAGTTTCTTCTTGGAGAGATCTTACAGATAAGCAAGGAGCAGCTTTAATACGGAGTGTGCACACAAGATGAAATGGGAACTCAAAGAAAGGGGTGCCAAAGTCTCACTGGGTGGGAAAGACAGAATAGATTTCATACAGTGTATGATATGCAACCTGACACTTGAAGGCAACATAGAAATTTATAATAAATAGGGTTTTTTGGGGGTAAGTTTTCACCTGAAAGAAGTAAATGGTACATATTGTTAGAGAGTTGCTATAAAGTCAAGATGGCAAATAACAAACCTCCTAAACAGATTCTGCTAATATAAAAGGTTAGAAGAGACATTTCCACCTTTCCTTAGGTGATTTCAGTACATCATAACAAGGCAGTTGCTGTTGTGCCAGGGCCTTCATCATCCTTCATAGAAGCACAGTGCTTCTTTCTAACATAGTCAAAGCAGTCATTGTGTGTTAATGACAAGACAATATAGAATTTTCAAACAGAAAGGCACTACCACCTTCACCAGGGCAGTGAAAGAGCAGGAATTTTTGTACAGATTCTCAGATGGTCTCATTTGATTTGAACAGGTATTTGCATTATATAGCAGGAGAGATTAGAAAACATCTGATCAAATCCTCTCATATTAATGATTAAAAAAAAGAAAGACAGACAGAAAGAAAATGTTTCTGATAGTGCCAAGATCTTAACTGCCTTCCTCATTAATACATTTTTAACCTGATACTCTGTGTGATGCTGCTCAAGGATATGCTGTGGAACTTAATGGGAAGACTTGCTTGGGTTGCTCTTTTTTTTAAAAAAAAAAAAAAAAAAAAGTTTTTATTGTGAATTGAGTGAAATTTTACAGGACAGATCATCAGTTTTACATTCAACAAATCATATACTTTGTTTCATTACAATGGTTCTAATCCCATCCATATACCATAAATTAACAGTATTTCTCTCTATTCATTTTAGCTCCTTTTTTTTTAAACACTAAGGCATATATAATAATTTTTTTAAGTTTTTATTGTGAATTATGTGATAGTTTACGTGGGAGAACATTAACTTTACATT